TTTTTTTTTTTTTAATTATTTCTATCTTCCTCTATTTTTTAAATATTTTGGGCAAAACATGATGTCTTAAATTAACTTTATGAGTAATGTAAATTTATAGAATACTATTATAAAGATATAGTATCCTAAAGGTGATATACTATATATATTTATGTTATATTAGTAAATTTATTTTTTGTAAAGGTATGAATCACCTTAAAATAAATATGCTTTTCTTGTATATTTTGATTATATTTAATAATTGATATTTCCTTAATCAATTTACTTACTATTACTTTCGTCAATTTAATAATCAAGACACAACAAAGACAGGATGCAAAAATAGAGAAGAATGTTTGAGGAATAACATACGATTCTGCTGTTTTGCATAGGTGTTTTATAATCCAGAGTGCACACACATCAACTTCACGATAGGTGTGTTTTTAGTGAAGATTTTTTCTTTTCTTCTCTTTTGGTTTGGAAGGTTAAGATGTCTAGTTTGGATGGTTAGGGTGAGTATCCCTAGTTTATTAGATATATACTTTGAAATTAATTCCTTTTCAAATGATCTTAAAGATGCACTCTTATATCAATATGACAAAATTAATTTTTTTTAGATATTGGTTTCAAGACTTAGATTTAAAGGTAAGCTATAAATCTAACATATAAAATAACACTTAGTTACTAATAAATACAATAAATAAAACCTATGAGATTATTTCTAGCCATGATAGAGCCTACTAATCATTGTGTAAGAATTTTAGAGTCTATGTAAAATGGACTACAATACATTTTTTTTGTCTTTTGTAAGGGATAACAACCTTCATTAGTAACTTACCAGGAAAATAAATTTGAATAAAATTTTTTATAAGGGATTGTCCGATTAGTATCTTAAAGAAATAAATTAAATGTATTTTAGATGCACCTTTTATGCATTAATTTACATGAAAGAATGAAAAAGTTAGTATTAATTTTAACACTCATGTCATGTGGATATTTTTAATTAAACAATTGATAAAATTAATATCAATTTTTATTTTTTAATATATATTGATAAAAATGTGTAATTAATACACTTTTAATATTTACTTTAAGGTCACAAATTAGAAAAACCTTTTTTACAATAAAATTCTTCAATTTAAGGTAAAACCTTTCTATCTCACCAAGCCCTACATAAACTGAAATGCAACATATTTTTTATAATGTTTCAAATTAACAATCAACTATATTATTAGCATGATACAATGGTTGTATAAAAGACATTCTCAACACAATATAAGGAAAACAAATCAAAAGAAGTTTGTTCATCCTCTTTAGCACTCACTATTTATTTATAAGATTAAAAAATGATAAATCTAATCCGTCTGTCACAATATTTGTATTTTTATTAAACTTTAGTTTCAAATTAACTATCTCTTTTACATTTTTAAGAAGTAATATTTTTTTTTTATCGTTTTAATTCTATGGGTATGTCTCATTTTTAGTAGTTAACATCATCAACTATATATTTTCTTTCATACTTCTCTTCAATAATAATTTTAAGTAAAATAAACCTTAATGGTTAAATTTATTGGTAAGCAAGTATTGACTTATAGTTACATTTATTATTTAATTTTTGGGGCCAATATCTAAGAAAATTAATTTTTTTTAAATGTGCTATGATGCATCATTAAACTTTTCTAAGAACGAATTAATCTTAAAATGCATAAAAACTGAGATAAGAACACTATAACTGTCTAACTCAATAATAATAATAATAATAACAATAATAATAATAATAATAAGAAGAAGAAGAAGAAGAAAAATTAGTAACGGGGCAAGATTTAAGATGGGGAGCCAGGTTTGTTGACACTTAAATTAAATTTGTGTTTAAAGTATAATAAATTAATGTTTATCAGCTAATAATAATAATAATAATAAGAAAAATTAGTAACGGGGCAAGATTTAAGATGGGGAGCCAGGTTTGTTGACACTTAAATTAAATTTGTGTTTAAAGTATAATAAATTAATGTTTATCAGCTAAACTACAATAAAAAAATTAGGAGAAAAACCATTTAAAACTACATTGTTTTAGTAAAACATTACAAGAAAAAACTAAAAACAATTTCATTCTGGTTTTAAAAATTAGGATTTTTTTAATAAGAATAGATTAAAATGATGTAGTTTTAATATATTTTTCTACCTAACTTTTTACAACAATAATTGATAAACATTTTTTTCCAAAAAGTTATTTCCTCTGTTGTATTTTAGTTGTGTTTATTTGTTTTTTACATAATGTTTAAGTTGATAATTTTGCATAACAAACAAATAATAGTGGAAAATTAATTTTTTTCCTAAACATAGTGCTTCTTAAATATTTTTACTTAAATAAAAATATCTTTTAGTTGTCACTTATTTTTTGTATAAGTAATTAAACTAATTAACATAATGCTGGTCAAGTAATGTAATAATGGTCAAGTAACGTAACAAAAAAGGGTCAAAAGGAGTAAAACACATTTGTAAAGTAATAAACTTATGTCTAAAATCAAACTTAGCCGTATTCAATGTGAAATATATTGTTATTCGGAATTTTTGGAGATTAGTAAATAATTAGTTAGTTATATTTATGAAAAAAAAAAGCATAGAACAAAACACATAAAAATATATCTGATAAATTTTAAAAAATATAAAAATTAGTATAGAAAGTGAGAAAATAAAATAAATAGATTTTGTTTAGTAAAAAATTATGAATTAAAGATAAAGTTTGGAAGTTTTTCATAGAAAAAAGTAGATATTAGTGACTAAAATGAATATTTTGGACTAATTGTAGGTACCATAAAGTTGATGATCTAAGTAATAGAAGGGAGGATAAGACAAAGAAATTTAATGACAAGATTTACAAAAAAAAAAAAAAGAAGTTAATGATGATTATTTTCATAAATATTAAGAATAATTAATTAGGTGAATAAAATAAAAATTATGAATAAAATTCATAGAATACAAAATTAAAGACTAATTTAAAACTTTTCAAAAATCAAGGCCATGATAACATGTGCCCAATGAAAAGAGATACAGTGAATGAGATGGGTAACAAATAGTAGCACATGATAGCATCAATTTTCTTTTCCCCATTTAAGATTATCATGGTGTCTATAGGACAATTTTCACATATCTTGGAATTAATATTTTCTATGTGATCTCAAGGGCACATCTCCATATTGACTTTATGAATAAAAAAAATTAAATTTTCGAAAGTGCCAACCCAAAAATTTAAAACCTTAAACTTGACTCATCAAAGGGCACTTTTATATATTCTATCTGTAGAACTACATCTAAACTTATATAATACAAGTATAACCCATGTCAATGCTAATGCCTTACTACCATGTGGAAACTTCTAAAATGGTGACAAAAGTTTTGATGTGAAAAAACCTTTGATATAGTATGAGGAATCTATTGTCTTTGATAATGGCAACCCAAGAAGAAGGTGAATTAAGTTTCCAAAAAACTTATACAATTTTTTAAATTAAAACAATGAATAATCACAAGCAATTTCTAAACAATTGAATCTCAACTAAATAAATTATAGAAATTAAAAGTTATGAGAAGAAAAACCTTAAACACAAGAATTTATGGTGTTTTGATCACAACTTATACCTGGTTCATTTCTTAAACCACCTACTTGAGAGTTTGCATTGGATTCAAAGCCTCTTCACAAACTTTTAGGTGTAGAGAAAACATCTACAAATAATTTTGTCAATGTTATTCATCTTTAACAATCCAACTCTTTGTTACAATCTCTAACAAATTCAATCTAATATTACAAAGATGGATTTTCTAAGTTTAACAAGGAATCTAAGCTCCTCTCACAATTGTAAATGAAAGAAATGAAATAAAACTTATGATCATAAAATGATTTGAATATGAACAATTGAGAAAAAGAGAGCTTTGGTCTTGACTCTCGAAAATTGGGATTGCTCCTCTATCTCTCTCTACATTATTGGACCTCAAAGAATCTCTTTTTAAACTTCAAAAATGCTTAATCACAACTTTTAGTCATTGCACCTTAATTTGGAAAAAAGATGAATTTGATATGGAATGTAAATCTTGTCTTTTAAACAAAAAGTTCAAACACACATTGTATGTTTCAAACCCTTTTTGAATTTTTTATTGTTGAGTGCTAAATGTTCATCAAGTTGTTGGAATATTTCTTTTGGTTCTAAAAACTTTGCCACTAGTCTTACAAACATGAAAAATAGAAAGATTAAAATTTCCAAAACCAAGTGTGGTAGTGTTGGAACTTTTAGTCTTGGCTTATGAAAATTCAAAATTGAATTTCTTAAAAGTTTCAACACTTATTTTTTGATGTTAAACCACGTATGAATAAAAATGTAATGCAAATATAGTTGGTTAAAAAATTCCAACATTTTTTATATAGTTTTGGAGCTGTTTACAAAATAATACATTTTTTGAAGATGTACGAAAAGAAAACTTGACCTCCTTTGGAGAGGCTTTGTTTTCAATTTTAGACAAACTTATGAAAATATGATTCTAAGAGTAAATTGATGTGTTAATACAATTGACTATTTTCAAAATGAAAAATCATCTAGTAGTGACTTTCTAAAAATGTTTAAGACATAGGTTCTATTTGGAGTTGCATTTCCACAACTCTTTTTCATATAACACCTCATAAAATTGTTAATTTATTATGATTAAGTTAATTATATTTAATATTTTATATAATTTTGTGATGACATTAATGTATAAGACTTTTTTTGAAACAATTATCAAATAATAACTTAATTTTTTTTCATAATAGAATATTAAAAAACTAACAGCCACAACACTTCACAATAATCTTAAACATAACCATAGAATGCTTAAAAACTTAGAGGATTATATCAAACGATCAATCCATGTAATTTGAAATTGGGTGTTTCACATTTGTAATTGGGTGTTTCACATTTGTAATTGAATTTTCATATCAAAATTAAAAATAACAACAAATTTATATTTCTATTAAGTTTTTGACACATTAAAATTAGGTTAAAACCCCTTTTTGGTCCCTGAACTATTGTACGGACCCCCGATTTGGTCCCTGAACTAAACAAATCCTTGATTTGGTCCCTACTGTTTACCATTTTTACCCAGATTTGGTCCTTCCGTTAAAAATCCAGTGACGTGTACTGTTAACTAACGGGAACACGATGACATGGCCAAATATCGTGACACGTCATATGTACACATGGAAAAAAGATGACATGTCATAAAACACGTCAGATTCTCGCCAAGCAAAAAAACTAAAAACGTGGGGCCCACCTCCTGCCCAAATTCAGTATATCCTCCCCTTCTTCCCATTCGAACCCTAGAAGTGCAGAGGGCACACCGTACCTGCAAAAAAGCCAAAAGTCCCATTCTCCTTCCTGCTTTTTGCTCGTGAATCTTTGATCTTTCACTTTCGAATCTTCGCGTTTAGTGCTGAAAGAGGTGGAAATCGAAGAACAATGGAGTCTTCGAACATCGTAGATGTCGATGCTGACCCAGATCTCAGTGGGGACGAGGTTTGAACCTTTTTTCAGTTTATTTTCTTTCGAGATGTGTGAAGGTGTTGGGTGATGTCCTAAAAGCAATTTAAAGTTGTTTTTTAGTATGTTTCTCGAGTTGGTAGCGAAAAGGACATTG